TGAATACTGTGGGGTTTTTAGCGTGTAGCTGTGCTAGCTAGCCGCAATTGCGGAAGCATGGGCAAAAAATGCTATCACCCGATTGGTCAGTTAGCATTCGAAAGCCTCTGCTATTGGCCAACGTACGCATCCGTCACCAACAGAGACTCGCCTCGCTTTGCCAGCTGAGACTCCCAACTCCTGACAAACACAAGGCCCTTCTCCCACTTCTGCTGACGACCAGCCGCAACTTCCACAGTCTAACCTCCTGAGCAAGACATGCTGACAATCGCAGCCGAGATGAACGTACCGTGTAGTACGACAGCAGGCCGGCATTGTAGTCCAGAACAAACCAGCGATACTGCCAGCCTTTCATGACGTTGGTCCACTTGCTGAGCGGCCCCTCCATGATGGACGCCATCTTTACAACAGGCTCCGGGCGGGGAGGAGTCGGATATGGTGTGGGGTAGGCGTCATGGTATGAGGAAGATTATCGTTCTGATGATGATGATGACGCTCATCATATTCAGCATTCAGTGAAAATAAAGTAAGAGTAGTCACTTGACCCGGAGATCATGCTCTGACACAAAACGACTAAAACCATAAATAAATAAATAAATAAATAATCATCCAAGTAAAAGTAGTTTCCAGTGATTTTGATAAAGATGTTGTTATTATCTTATTGAATCTTACCTTTTTTTTATATCCACAAACGTGTGAATTACCGGAGTTCATTTTAAGCGTCTGCTATGCTGTCCTAGTTTCATCTATAATTAGTCAAATACACTACAGATGCTATGTTTGCTTTGACAGTGCTGATGGAGAACAGTAGAGAGAGTTGCAGGACATGTATGATGGTTGTAATACAACAGGGATTGGATCTGAGTCCCTTCTTGGTTGCCATGGTGATGGACAGGCCAGACCAGGGGCGCATCCAGAATTTTTTCATAGGGGTGGCCATATGGGGGCCACTTAAAATATTGGGGTGGCACACCAAAAACAGAACAGTGCATGGGTGCTGCAGAAGGGTGGGGGTGACAATGGGAATCGTGAGGGACATACAAAAAGCCCCTGGGTCAGACAGGAGTCTCTGTGGACTATGGTGTGTGCAGACAACGTTAGTAAGGGTAGGGAGTAGGTGGCAGAGAGCCTGGAGAGGTGGAGGCATGCTCTGGAGAGAAGAGAGGATAAAGTCAGTGTGAGTGAGATAGAAGACGTGTGTGAATGAGAGGGAGAAAGGCTGAACGATAAACATGGAAAGAGTATATACCTGGAGTCAGCCATGCAAACCAAAGGACGGTGTACAAGAGAGTTGATAGAGACAGGGCCTGCTGCTTGACAGTAAAGATTTTCAACTTGAATATTTTATTGATCTGTATCCAATGTGTAATTTTAAGTGTTCCTTAAGCTTTTGAGCAGCATATTTTACACAGAATTATTTAATTCAAATCAAGTCAGTTTTATTTATGTAGTGCCAAATCACAACAAGAGTTCTCTCGAGGCGCTTTGTGTTGTAAGGTATAGACCCTAAGATAAAAAAAGAGAAAACCCCAAATAACAAGCGGCCCTCATATTAGCAACACTTGGCTAACATCGTCTGCTCCACTTGAAATTTACTGCAAATAAACCACAAACCAAACAATATTCATCAATATCTTTATTATTTACAATAGGCTTAACACTGATAAGCAAAACTTCACAGTAATATAATGTGAGCTTTAAATAAAAAAAACAAAACACAAAATATATATTTTGTACAATAAAAAAGTTAATGTTAACATCTGCCATTTTTCATCCCTGTTTAGTTTCACATATTTCATTACGGTGTGTCTGTGTGTTGATTTTACATTGCACTCATACAACTGAAGACGCGGCCTTTGGTATATTGATACGTACGCACGTTCTCCAGAGCTGTACTCCACAACAGGGAGACATGAGAAGACAAAATAAACAGATCTACAGGATCAATGCAGTCAAAAAACATAAATAAAGTCAATGTAAAGGACTGAGAATGAGCAAAAATGTTGTGGTCAGGCTTAAATATTAAACAGCATTGGTCTTGAGATCAGGCTTGCGAGTTGGTACGAAATCAGTTTGCTGACAATCAACGATTGAATCCTTAAAAAATAAAAATAAATAAAACTGTTTGGAAAAGAAATGCGTGATTTCAGGATTTTTTCTTTCACCATCTAAAAAGGCGTATCACACAAAGTAAAGAGGAACTAAGGCCAATCTGGTGCTAGTCAGTTCTAAAGGTTTTAGACTGAAGTGTGATCAGATCAGGCAGATTTGTGTGACCGGACTAACAGCGCTAACAGCGCTAACAGCGCTAACAGCCACAAATAAACCACATTAATTACAGATTTTCCAAATAGAGTCCGACTGATACAATTGTTGATCCAATATTCTTTCTTTCAGACACACAGAACTAAAAATATTTCCTTAGCATTTATTGGGGTAATCTGTTCATGTATTTATTTATGCTGTGTTGCCAACATGAAATTTGCAGAACACCCTCTGGTGGACAAGATATAGAATATCAACATTCATAACGTGGCTGAAGGGTGTTTCTCACATCTCTTCTAAATTTTAATGCATTTATTACAAATGCTGACACCAACTGGCAAATATCCAATATGGCCAAACAGCACATGTTGGCATCGGGCCGTTAACCTCCAAATGACAGAAACCGACAGTGCAGTGACAGGATTATAACGATGTCATTGAAATCGAAACATACGCATGAGTTTTAATGAGGGACTTGAACATTCTGTGAGTCCTCGCAGTGGACAAGTTGTTTCACAAAAAGGCACCAAGAATTGTGAAGAAAGGTGGCATTTTTCATTTCATGTTATTTTAAATGCACAAAAATCAGCTGGTCTAAAAGCAACATGTTTGGCAAAAAAGGGCAATTTTACTGACGCACAATAAGAAGAAAAATTAAAGGATGAAATGCACCACAAAAAAAAAAAAAATGACATGCCATTGAAAGGCATTAAAAGTGTTACGGACTTGCATCAGTGTTTACAATTTTACATGTACAGAGCATGTGTCAATGAACCAATGAGATCGAGGCCGTATCCAGTGTACATAAATATGAGAACCAAAGCAAGGAAACAAACAAAAAGGAAAACAATACAAGTTGTGTATGTGCTGTACACAATTCTGCTTGTGCTCAAAAAACAGAGCCGATATCTCTGGACTTATTTAGTGTGATCGAAATAAAGCATGGGCCAGTAAGTTAAATGGAAAAAAAGAATATGGCACCTTAAGGGATTAAAGAGACACACAGTTGAACATTCAACCAGGTTGAGAACAGAAGAATACATTCATAAAGCAGATAATCAGATCTGGGTGGATGGGCCTTGAAATACATCTCTTCAGTCAGAAACATTGTTTTTTATGCTGTGACCACAGATAAATCTTTTGATTGCTGGATATGAAAGAAGTCAAATATTTACATAGCTTTTCTTTTAAAATAGGTCTGTGCTTTAAAAAAAACCCCCAAACAACAATAATTTAAAATTCAAGTTCATACATAGACATTCTAAAAAGCATTTTTCTGTGAACCAAATAATGTACAAATTGCTCATGTGCTGAAGACATACTGCAGTTAGTTGAGAGATCAGTACTGTGTGATTAGTGTGAAGTAGGTCTCTGCATTTCGCAGCGTTCTTACACTGAAGAATGAGGCACCGAGGCCATGACTAGGCTACAGGGAATCCAGCACTGTCCACACTCGCAAGGACACTTATAAAAACACTGTCCCAGTTCACCTGCTCGTGTGCTACCCTGTGCTCTATCTTTCCTCACTCCACGTGTTTCAGCTCCATCGTGCAAAACAACGAAGCAGCGTGCGAGGATAACTGGACACGAATAATGAAATGCTTTAAGGGGCTGGGGAGATTCCCCATTCTTGTGGCACTACGTTAAGGTGTGGACATCAGTCACAGAAGCAAAGACAAATTCTGTGTTCGTTCATTGTGTGTCAGTGCTGTGGGGAATATCTGTGAAATGCACACGTTTACTTTTGTAGGCAATCGCTAAAACTTTTATTATGATTAGGTGGACGTGGAAATTTCACGGTTACTATTGAAAAAACAAAACAAAAGCAACCAGACTTTAACCCCACACAAGGGACAAAGCAGGTGTGTTATTTATAACCTTTTTACACTTGTCCAACTGGCCTATGAGAACACCCCCCACCACCCCTCGTACCTCGAAGGAGTTCACATGAATGTAGTTTCCGAAATGGCTCACGATCACTTGGTTCTCCAGACACAGAGGAAAACGGTACACTTACATATTTGTAAAACAATTCTTGAGTTTAAATCGAGGGGAAGCAGAGTGAGCTTTACCTACTCTGTCGGCTGGCTACACACAGCTGATACACTCGACATTCAGGCAGCAAGGACGCCTTTACATCAAGGCCACGTAAAAAGTTGTGGTGAAACGTTTTATGGTGCGACTTGAATTTAGTTTGGTATATTATTTCTCAATATGTACAGGTTAGAGGAAAATTAGTGTCCACACTGGCATTTTATCAAACTGATTTGTAAACAATTTTAAAAAAAGTTATTTCTTGTAGTGATAGTGTGAGGTACTGCAGAGGTGCGTCTCGATCCGTCCCCAGAAAGCTGTCAACAGAACCTGAAACATAAAAAAGGAATCAAAGCGACCTGTTGGGTAGTTAGAGGTGAAGATTTGTGGCGTCACGGTGGCTACCTCTGCACTACGTCACTAATCTCTTTAATACAGCCGTGCAGGTTATCCAGTACAGTGTTGGACCCCACGCCACCCAACCCCCCACCTCCTGACGACGAGGCTCTCAGTTCCTGCAGGCTGAGCTCCAGCTTCCCCACTGCCTCTCGAAAGGCAAACTTGTTCCTCATCTGAGGGATGCAGTCCACATAACCTGAGCAGTAGTCTAGCAGCTGATGGCCAGCGTCCAGAACCTGGCTGCTGGAGGGGCTTTCGGAGCTGGCGTGGAGTGCGCTGCTCAGGCATTCCGCGCAGTCCAGCAAGGCCTCGCGGCTAACCCGCTCCAAGGGCGCCCTCTCCACTTGCTGCCTAGTTCGCCGCAGTGCCACTTTGGAACCAGCAGACAGTGCTGTGTGCGAGGGGGCCGTGGTGGTCGCCCCATTGGCCATTTTAGTGGGCGTTGTGTTTGTGGTGGCAGAGCAAGAAGAAGAAAAGGAAGAAGCTGGAGGCACTTGCGGTGGTGGCACTGATGGTCTGCCTGTCATCATTCCTCCTGACATTCGCCCTGACCTTTGACCTTTTAATGTGTCCCCATTTACTTCCACGGGCATTCCTCCGACTTGCTCTTCTCCGTCGCCGCTGTAGGAGTGTTGCAGACTGCGCAGAGTAGGGGGAGGCGGCGGCGCACACTTGGGTTTGACGAGGCGTGGCTTGTCTCGGTCTGCTTGGTGCTCAGACAGCAGTTTAAAGCGGTTCCCCTGAGAGTCTAGCCCGACCAGGTGCACGTCACCTGGGCTGTGCTTCAGTGTGGGAGAGATCAGCACTGGGACTTTGTGGTTGTGAGTTGGCCCACCTGCTGCAGCTGATGACATGCTCAAGCCCGAGCACTTGGAGGGAGATGTCCAACTCTGCTGCCTGTCCAGTCCTCCACTCTCCTCTCTACCCTCCCTGACTCGGGACAGGCTGTCTGAATCCCCAACTTCCCCCCCGACCCCCGGTGCCCTCACCCCTACAGCAGTGCCCCGGGGTAGTAGCTTGGCTTTGGGCCTTTCCCTGATCTGTGCAGTCCCCTCATCCATCCTCCTCAGCAGAGTTTCTGACGGTCGTGCAGCCCCGTTCTCTGGCTGAGAGGTTGTTGAGGCAGTCCTCTCCAGAGGCGGTTTAGCACTGCGGTTCCTGGGTAACGTCAGAGCCATGCGCTCCAAATCAGGCAGCCCAGCTGACATTGAGGAGGTAGAATTGGACCTAGGGAAAGGTTTAGGCCCACCAACTATATTTCCACCCTCGTCTGCGGAGCATGTCTTCCCTGTCCGTAGCCCCAGGGTCTTTTTAATGAGTCTAGGGGTAAAAAAGCCAGCCAGCCCACTCCAACTGCTACCACTTGTCACCTGTGAACCAAAACCTCCCCCAGAGGGTTTCTGTCCAAAAGCTGCCCCGCAGCAGCGAGACTGTGCCTGGATAGGTTCCCCATGTGAGTGGGAAGGAGACGCAGAGAAGCCCCCTAAACTGTCTGACTGGGGCAGGGGAGGAGGAGCACTGAAATCGGGTGTAGGCTCGTACTTTTTGTGAGGTTGTGTCTCCATCTCCCGGAAGGAACTGCTTCTCTTGGGTGGCATCGGAAGGTTCTGTTGGTGCTGAGAAGACTGTGACGAGGAAGATTTCTTTTTGATAAATGAGCTAAAGAAGCCAGTCTTGCGGTCTCGTGTAAATGTGCCCACATCCTGTGCATCCTCTAAAAGGCTGCTGGGAGATTTATCTCTTGACTGTTGCTTTCTGGGGAGGGCTGGGGAGGTGCCTGATCGGCCGTCCCCTCCGAGCAAAGATGACGCCCAACCTGGAAAGAAAAGAGGAAGAGGAGGAATCACAATCATACAACAGACCGACTGAACTCAGGAGCACAAATATCTGTTAAAAGCTTGCTTAATAGCTTAAAAGAGACATAATGAATAACTGCTTTTTGGCTCGCTCATCTATACATCAATGTCACTCATGTCAGGCAGCTGATGCTGCTGTATCCTGTATCTCCGCCTTTGGGATTCACAATCTGAGAAAAGCATTCGAAGAAGGTGAACAGACTTGTTTTTGAGCCCGTGCCAGTCAAGGAAAAGCACACAGTAATTCAACGATTCACAAGCTGCCGTTTCAAAAGATAATGAACACACTTCAACGACTGAACAACAGAAACTGCACAACTTCTCTAACATGGAAAGCTGCTGTGTCACTACGCTCAAAGAGGAAGCTGCAATTGTGTTACACTTCTGCTGACCTTTAAATCGGCACAGAACGCCGGGCAGCTTCACCAAACAAGCAGATGAAGTGAAACGAATGAAAGAGGAAGCTGCAAACGCTTTTTCATTACATTTAGAAAACCTGTGATGTGAAGCAGCATAGGAAAGCAATAAACCTCAGACACACAGTTCCTTATCTTTAGGAACATCACATACATTTAAAAATAAAACAGAGGAAATGCTGAGATTCAAGATGTTCATTCAATGTTTGTGCACCGACTATTTCCTTATGGGCACTTTCACGATACCAGTGACGAACCAAAATGGGGTTTTAGTGAACTTTAGTTTTGCTGTTTATTGTGCAACAAAAACTCATTGACACTTCTTCTTTCTTTATTGGTGAATACACAAGTTCATGGACCAAAGCCCTAAAGACTTATCATAGAAGCATATTTGGTTTTCTTTCAGTTCATTTACACTTAACTTCCTGTGGTTGCTCCACTTAGTTCCTGTATTAGTTAACAGACACAGGTAAACAGAGGCATCAACGCCCTCCCCCCAGCACATGGAAATGATTTTTATTTCAGTGAACCAAAATATTTATTGACACCTTGTTTTAGTGAAGTACGACCACGTCAGGACAAAACTGACAGTCACATAAGGAGGTGAAGAAAGGTACACGCAGGCCAAGGGTTGACAAACCATTTTACACACGAGACAAACACACAAAAACCCAACAAAACAAATAAATAAGTAATAACTTAAAATAAGATACAACGTTATGTACATTTAATATTAGTGAGTGAACAGTGAAGTATTGATGTATCATCAAGTATTAATTGGAGGAATAATATTAATGGCACAAATAGACCAGGAGAGAAAATAAACAAAAGCTTATGTTAATCAGATGATGACTGTGTCACAGTGAAGATGCAGTTATTTATTTGAACATAAAGACAGGTTATTGTATTAGAGGAGTTTGAGTGCTGGTGTCTTTTTACTTGAGGATGCTGAAAACATTCGATTTTAATGCAATTAAAAATTACAGCTGTACAGGAAACTTGCAGAGTGAGGCTGTAATGCTGTTAAATCTCAGGCAGGACAACAGTCTGAGGATAACAGACTAAAAACGAGATGTTCTGTGATCGTGAGAGACGAGAACGTCATTTTAACCCCCGTGCACAGAGCGCACTCATTCTGTATTCCTTTTATTATTTCATTGTTGAATATTTACTCGTTTGTGGGGTTTTATGCTTATTTAGTGTGTGCAAGCTTCATGGGTGATTAAAAAAAACAAAAAAAAAAAACCTACTTAAAAAGTAAGTGCTTATGAAAAATTGATCAGGCAGTTAGACATAAATATGCTGACCAATGAATGCATGCATGCTTTTGCTGCTGGTCGGCCAAATGAATGACAGATGTCAGATGGTGATCGATCAGCTGTCGGGGAAAATGACGGCCATTCTTTTGAGGCGGCGGGCCAGACGTCGCTGCAGCTGACTCTCTGAATCAGTGTCCTCCGACGTACCTGCAGAATCATAAAGTGAGGCACCCGACTGGTTGGTAGTGACATGGGCACGGCTGGCTGTACCTGAGTGACCGTGCGTGCAGTGGTCAGTGCGGCCGTCCAGTCCACCCTCGATGTTTTCCTTGTTTTCTGTGTGCTTGTGGAGTGGGCGAGATTTGGAAGGCAACAGGGGCATGTCATGACTGAAAGACTGCAGCGGCCCGCTGTGATCAGAGGATGCTGTCTTACAGAGCTCCTCTGCCACCTCTGCAATGTGCAAAGAAGAAAAGCATTCAGCTGAGAGGCATTTACTACTCTAATCCAGCAAAGTACACGCTGCTCGTTTACTGACCAATTAAACCTGAATAGGAGAGTGAAAAGAAGATTCCAGTTTGTTAAACTCCTGTTTGCACATGTTCACTTGTTCTTTCTCTACTCTCACATATTTAATTACCTGAAGCTGTGTTACTAAAGGTCAGTAGGCTAAATAAGACCCAGTTTGCATGATCAGCCAAGTCAGTGCATGTATTTCAGAGTCACAGTGAAGGTTTAGAGGCTACATGTCATAAGCTGCACGTTCTTGTACCTTCAGAAATGCTCGAGCCGTGAAACATCGTTTCGAAGGCTTGGTGGATCTCTGCAAACGAAGGTCGATCCAACGGGCTCCACTGCCAGCCTGACAGCATGACACAAACACAAAGACGAGAAAGGTTTTATACATGAAAGCAATGAGACAATAGCATTCGACTTCAAATTGGTTATCAAGCCGTCAATCTTTGTTTCTTTGGTTTATTTATACTCTTTTGTATTTCTTGAAAGACGTTATGCAAATTTACACATAATTGCTGTTTCACTTCATTCAAACATGTACAGACGAGCACTCCCTGCGTGTCTCTGAAATGTGGAAATGTGGTGCAGCAACAGGCAGGTAAAAAAAACATGCACTCACATGCCCTCATCAGCTCATAAACTTTGGGCGGGCATCCCTCAGGTTGCTCCATGCGATAGCCTTTCTCCAAGAGATCGTAGACCTGAGACAAATCGATACCCGGGTAGGGAGACATGCCATAAGTGGCAATTTCCCAAAGTAGCACTCCAAAAGCTGTCGGAGAAACGAGTTCAGAGGATCAAAGATGAGCACACTGAAAATTAATTCAAGACGGCAAAACGATGCTGGAAAAGCTGCACTGCTCACCCCAGACATCAGACTTGATGGAGAAGGTGTTGTAGGCAAGGCTCTCCGGTGCGGTCCATTTGATGGGGAACTTGGCCCCAGCGTGGGCGGTGTAGGTGTCACCGGTCATCAACCGGCTCAGGCCGAAATCGGCAACCTTCACGACATGATTTTCACCGACCAGGCAGTTCCTTGCTGCGAGATCCCTGAGAGGTAAAGAAAACAACAAAATTGGACATTTAGAAAAAGACAAGTGAAATATTACACGTAAAAGAAGCAGCATAAACCCACACACACACACACACACACACACCTTACCTGTGTATAAAGTTCTTTTTCTCCAGATACTCCATGGCAGAGGAGATCTGCGTTGCCATGTACAGCAGCGCAACAGCATTCACCTCATCGCGTTCACACTCTCTCAAGTAGTCCAGTAGGTTGCCATGTGGCATATACTCGGTCACAATGTAGAAAGGAGGCTCTAACGTACACACACCTGTGGGGGACAGACTGGTTTAAAATAAATACTGAAGGAAACGTGAACGAGTATGTTTTAAAAAGGCACGGAAAATCAAAAGTTATACTCAAAATGAGAAAAAAAAGGTTTAGCAGCATTCATAAATACTGACCCAGCAGCTGAACGAGGTTTGGGTGTTTAACCTCTTTCATAACTGCTGCCTCTTTCAAAAACTCCTCTACTTCCATGGTGTCTTCCTGTCATTGCACAAATAGAAACAAAAGAAAACATTTTTGTTAAAATCAGTGGGTTGGACAGAAATGGGAAATGGTGCAGCAACAATAGGCTTAATCACATGTAATACCACTGTCCACCTGCAGGTGGTGGTCTGTGATCATTTTTGGGTCATGCCCTATAATTCACAGCTGCAAATATGAAAATGTGACACTTTAGAGCTGCAATCTCAGATAAACAAATAGTCAACATGTAGAAATAACTCTACGCACCTTTAGTGTTTTGACAGCCACAGTGAGGTTGTACTTTTTCCACACTCCGACATACACCTCCCCATACTGGCCTCCTCCCAGCTTGTGCTTCATGGTGATGTCTGTGCGCTCCATCTCCCACTTATCATGGATGGGTGACACACCGTACACTGTAGGCTTGTTACATTTGGGTGCAGGGTAGTGCAGCGTGGTGACCAGACCATCAGGTACAGTGGAGTGGTGATGGACCAGCTCGGCCAGAGTGGCGAAGCGGCTTTCGGATGTTACGTACACCTGATGGGGAGGAAGCAGGAAGGTGGATAAGGATGAAAAAGAAAGAAAAAGGTCAAGATTATGAACAGACCGAGTCCGTCCAGAAAACATCACTCTAGTGAGCCCGTTTAATAATTTAAACCCAATCCTTCTACCTTTCCATCCGTGGCTGTGTTGATCCGGTAGTGGTACACTCTGCCCTCATAGCGCAGAGATATGGACAGCTGTCCGGGGCTGCTCTCGCTTTCTCGCACCAGAAAACTGCCATTGATAAGTGATGAGAGCAGATACTCTGCAGCGCTGCGGGAAACGGGCCCGTGGTACCAGCTATGCTTCTCCAGGCTGTTGACCGGTGTGATGTAGTTGGAGGGAACCCATCCCTGACCGTTTTTAGACCTCACTTCACTCCACTCTCCATTCTGGTTGTAGCCCAGCACACGCAGCTTCTCACCTGAACACAGAAGGAGTGGGTTGTGCAAACATATTAAAAGGTGCCGATTATAACGAAGGAGTAGTCAGCTTATCGGTATCTAGACAATCCTGTTTTAATCGATTTGTTGTCTGTTTTGTTACACAACATGAAAGACAACTAGTTCAAATAGTCACTACATTCCTGTAAGACTTGGATAACAGGTCAAACAGAAAGAAGAGGTTTCATGGGCATGACTCGCCCCTCAGTGAAATTACATCAAAAGCGATGGAACAATAAAAGGGTTGGGTGCACATCATATCTGTCACAGAGGGCCAGGCAAAACTAGGCCTGTACTGACTTGGTGTGTTGTCTCTGTCTGCCTCTGACGTCAGCGCGAGAGAGGGAGCGGAGAGGCTGATGTGCTGGATACTTTAACAGGGAGGCACAAGAAAACACTGAAAGGAGCGGTGATCAGACTTGCCAGTGGGACACAGGTTTAGGAAAAGAAAATAGCTTAGTGTGGAAAAAACGAGGGTAGATGTAGGTTAGGTGTGATTGTAGAAGAAAATAAAAGGAAGAGGATATTAAGGCTATCCATCTTTTACACTCACCCTCCACTAAAACGCCAAGTTTACTCACTAATCCATTAACCTTTCAGCATCTTTCGTCATGACGGACTGTGTTGGTCTGTAGGGGGCATTAAAATAAAGCGAGGGGCTTTGCTGGTGCAATAAAACTGGAAGCAGGAGGTCGAATGGAGAAGCAGATGAAAGTGGACAGAAGTTTATAAAACTCACAAACAAGATTTTGCAAAGCTTATCTTCTATCACAGCTTGCAGGATAGAAACACACAGACTGTTCTGACTCTTTGCTGCTGCCTCCTGCACTGCTGCGGTCATTTTTTAAACACAGGCTTAAAGTTGGTTGAACATAGTGTTGGGCTATCATTAGTTAGTTTAAACTTTGAGAAATAGCAGATACAATGATTCTGTAATAGGCTGCTCATATTAAGCACTGCAGTCCAATAAACACTTAACTAAAATAGCTGCAGTGTTAGAGCCATATAACATTCAACCAACCAGTGCTACAGGGCTAGCTCATAAAACTAAACACAGTGTACTAGCAATCAGGAGAACTACATTAAACAAAGATGGTTATCCATATCCAGCCCACCAATCCACTGGTCTCCTCTGTGTCTGCCTTGTGTGCCCCTAGGTTTTGTGGGAGTGGAAACACTGACTGTCTTGCTGCCTCACACTGGGAGCCACATGTGCCTGAAGCAGGGCTTTGGTCTGGCCTAGCCTAGTCAGGTCTGGCACAGAGAAGAGACAATGATTAGCCCCAGACATGGCCTGTTAAGACCCCTTCTGTGACCGGCGTCCGCCTGCTGCGCTCGTCCACCTGTTATTATTACAGTCAAGCCGATTTCATATTAACACAACATTAAAGGCCCGCTGGGTGTTTTCCATGCAACACAGCAAAGAGTGGGACAGACAGCAAGAGAGAAGTGGAGCCTGGGAGCGCACATGTGCATGCATGTGGGCAGGAATCTCAGATTTACTCCATGAGTCAGGGTCTAAACATCATTTCCATCCCAGGCAGCTGCCATGGAAGTCTTAAAACGATGGATAATTAACGCGCTGCCACATTAAACACATTAGACTGGATGATGACAGAAGCCTGGATGTCTGAAAAATATTACGAGGATATTTTAAGCTTATTGCCCAGGGGAGAACTGGATGAGTGGTTAAGTGCTGCTGAATGAGAGAAAAGAGGTCTGGACTAAAAGTGTGTGCATTAAGAGGCAGAGCGAATAAGATATTTGTAATTATGGCAAAGCATGAGCATCACTGGTGTTTCAGGTATTATTCAGTGTGGAAACTATAGCACATAAAACCTCAGCTGGTCATGTGTGGGTGTCTGAGGATCAGGTTATTGATGATGTCATGAGATAAGCTCTGTTGACACAGAACATTCCTTTGGAATAACTGGACGACACCTTTCCAGGTGGTGCCAACTTGATCCCTGTGCTCTGTTGCAACACGTGCTGTTTAGAAAGGTGTGGGTATAATGATCAATGATGTGGAAAAAAAGCTCAAGCGCTCAGTTGTAACCAGACAACAATGTTTAGCGATGATGCACAGAAAGAATGAAGTTTTTGTGAAACCAGAGGTTGTGGCAGTGAGAGAGTTAGTAAGAAAGTATGAACCATCTAAAGAGGTTATTCAGTTTTCCCCCCTCCAAATTCAGACTTGGGTTTACCTTTGGTGATGCTGAGTGTGTTGTCTCCACTAGCAACAAAGTCATAAAGTGCAACAAAGAGGTTAGGGTCGCTCTCGGTCGCGCCCAGAAGGTTCTCCTTGGAGCTCCAGCGCACCGCCTCTGTCAGAGCTTCTGGTAAGAAAGGACAAGCAAAAGAAAAGACATCACATTACTATGATTATCAGAGAGATTTGATTCACACAGGTGAACAACAAGACCACAACTCCACTGCTGGCTGACACCTTCAATGAATTTTGCCAGCTTACAATCCTCTTTGACAGAAACTGAACACAAAAAGCAGCACAGCAGCATTTATTGCTGCTGTGCTGCTTTTATTAGGATTAAGGTTTTTCCATAATCCTAAGACCCCATCCTGCTGCCCGTCTACCTGTCTTTCGAGGTCGAGTCCCCAGTCTGAAACCTGTGTGGAGTTTATGGCCACTCAAAGCAGCCCACTCATCTTCAAAACTGCTGCTTGCTTGCAGGCACCTCAGAAGCATCACTTCACTCGGCCAACTCTCCTTAACTCACCTATCTCTAGCTACACAAACAGGCCTGCTGTGGGCCAGGTACAATCTGAGATGGGAGTGTCTTTGCATTTGTATTTATGAAGGGAAAAAAAGAGGAGGAGCTATTAAACCAAAGGGAGGGCTGAATGACATACACACAGAAATGTAGCTAACACGTACATGCTCTACAGCTGCTCCCAACATTGCTGCATGTCTGGACAGCTGGTTAAAGAGTGGGAGAGGATTGGGAATGAAGGGAAGCAGGATAAAGAAAAGTCACATCAGTACAAGAAACTGAAAACAAACAGAGAAGCTGCTACATGCATGTTTTTGCCATAAAGAGGATGGAAGTCGTGTGCCAAAAGTGATCGAGTAACCCCCGATTGTATAGTTCATCTTTAAACATATACAATGTGCTTGTTAAATAAGAACAACGCCTAATCCATGTAATATGCTTGTACAATGTTATTTTACATTTTAATTAGTGAGAAAAGCATTGCTTTCTCAAACATACACAGATTGTAACTGAAAGCAATAACCCTAAACTCTGAGTCATATTCAGAGTGAGATGAGTTTATTCTGGAGGCTGTAGTTTCCAAACGTATAGGATTTCACTACTGCTTTATGTTTATAAACAAAACAATACAAAACCCCAAAATGATGGCAGCAGAATAAATGGAAGTGATATAACACATGATGTCACCTCTCGCTACCACATACATGTACAGGCAAATGTTTAACAAAGAAACTAGCTGATTCATAGCAGATTTCCTCCTCTGGGATCAGCGTCACTAAAGTCACTTTGACTGTCAAACCAGACTGTCCTGTTAAACCATCGTTTGAACCGACTCGGTGTTGGCACTTAGAGGTTGTTTTGAACTACTTACTGAAACAGACCATCCTGCCATGCAACAGCACTGCCACTGAGACCACAGACATGCAGGTTATGTTCAAGATGACACAACACGCACCATCTACTGTCCAATCATCACCATAGCGTCATGATTCCTGGAAGATTCCAGTCAACCTCATTATACAGGAAGTACAAAAGGGACTCAAGTTTTTAAGAGACCATCTAAATTCTTGCCTGATGCGTCTGATGCAACGATGATAAATTCCTACGAGTAACAGATTTGCTCTTTATTTCTAATATCAGCAGTCTGCAAAACTAACAAAAACACAACTGCTGTCATGCTACAAACACAAAACCTAGAATAAAAAACATGATATTGGCTGTAAAACTGAACTCTAAAACCAGCAAATGGGAGAACAATCACAGACAGCCCAGATGTTCACAATTCTTTTGGTAGACGAGGTTCTGATGAAAAACTATATTTTAATTAAGCCTGAGAGATTAAGGAAAAAGCTTTATCTAGTTAAACCATGTTAAAACGCTGCGTTTCCACCAGAGCAGTCCAGTCAAATTTAAAACACTGAGTGGCAATTATGTTTTAATCACAGACACACAAAGCTGGCAGAAATTCATCAAGAAATTATCTTTTCCCCCTTTCTTAGCCTTCATAATTTGGCAGGTACACAGTCTACATGGGAAAAGCTCTCTGCTTTCATAGCAAAGGCCGTAAACACAACCGAAATCTTGTCTCAAACAATGCAGCTGTATATTGTCTATTCTTTCCAGTATCTATATTCAACACTTGCCCACCTTTGTTCCGGACCAGCATGCACTGCAACGCAGCACTAGCTGTGACCTGACTCAGCCACAGTTCCCAGTACATCTTCTGCTTTGGGTTGGATGGCAAAAAGCCTCAGTATCCACAAAAACGCAGTTTCTCTTCATTCACTGTGACTCCAAACTGTTTTTAAAAAAACATCCAACTGCGTCTCAGACAATGGAGACTGAGGAGCACATTACTCTGGCAAAAAAATGACTGAGGAGCTCAGGACAGTTCTCCAAGTCATCGCCTTCACTGTGGAGTACGAAGATTGTACACACAGCAATCGGAGAGCAAGAGAGAGACAAAGGCATCTCCAGCCAAATTATTTACCGATGTAGTCTTTGACTTAAGCCACGCCGACTTCTGTTATTACCGTAGTGAATACCAGCCTCCTGCTGAAATCTACCCACTAGCTTTGATGTGGCCTAAGAGAGTCAAGATTTCCAGAGTCCATCTGGAGAACACAGACACCCATGACTGATGTTTGGAGCCTGAACCCACTCTGAAAGACGGCAAAAAGCGGCAGAGAGAGAGAGAGTGAGCGCAAAAAAGACATGTGGTTGGGGGCCATGCATATACAGAGGTTTGGGGGTAGGGCAGGGTATATGGCAGTGAGGAAGGACGTGTCCATATGTACGAGTATGTGTGCTTGGGGAGTGTGTGAGAGCTGTGGCCAACAGCAGATGGCCGGTCTTGTTCCTCTAGGGGGGAGAGGTCCTATTGACCCACACTTTTCTTCTGATGCATGTGCATAAACGATCATGGCTCCAACTGCTGTAGTCAGGCTAAGCCAACTGTCAGAGCTGCTCCTCTTACATATCTATGTATCAGATTGCGCTTCCCAGGAATGTCTAAATGAAAAAGGGACACAATGCCATTTCTCAAAAGGTCTCAATCTGAGAAATCTCAATTCTAGTTACAAGAGAAAGAAACTCCATCACTAATTATTCCAAGGCCTCAACCCGATCACATTAAATGACGAAATACTTCAGTCAGGCAAAATGCTCTTGGCCTCGTATGCTGAAATGTTTGACTGAGCGAGCAGTTGGCCAGCGCGGGTACGTCGTGTGCCCGTCCGGGTGCCTCAGTGAGTGCGTCTGCTGTGATGTGCAACACATGTGCGCACTGAAGAAACTATGGCTTTGTGCTGAATGCTGGAGAGCGGGTGTTTATGTCTGTGGGGTATAGCAAGCCTGCACCCCCAAGACAGCTGCGACAGAGGTGACCCTTGTACCAGGAGCACACATACTCACATATCAGCGATGACACCCTTCCCCTGGATGCCTCAACAGCTGTTTGAATGTTTGCGCCTACAAGTGTCTATAAAGAGGTCACTTTACCAGCCAAGCACCTTGTGGGGAGTAGTAAACAACACGGTAATATCTTCTGCACACCCTAATCAAAAACAATGCTGATTGTATCTTAAGCCCGTGACCAGTGAGGTCAGGTGGTATTTTCAGCTGCTGCAAAACAAAACATGGCAGCATGACATCCAGGAATAACTCTGCAAAGCACACAGTGACGACGGTGTGATGATAAACGGCTGGCTGAATGCCGGAAGTGTGAACAAAACCCTCATACAATACTGCGGATGAGACCCGCTTACACAAGACGTTATGTGAGCCTGACAAGCCTGATCAGATCCTGCACTGTATTCACTCCATAATCCTGGAAATGACAGACCTGGGGGCTGAAATGCATGCTATAACCTGGCACCACCAATTATCCTTTCATATTCAATGACGATTATCCAGTTCTTCATAATTCAACCTCAAATCTCGCAA